ATGAATGAGGCAAGCTAGGACTTAATGTCAGAAAGTTTCTTTTCATGGTCAACTCGCACCAGCATCTCAGCCCGTTCCCGAAGCTCGTCTTCGCTAGCAAACATGGTAGCAATCTCCTTCTTAGCCTCTTCAAGAGCACTGACTTCTGTATGGTAATCTACCAGAGAGGTTGCGCTTTTGACATTGAGCTCGGTGACAATAGATTCTTCTCGTTTGAATTGAGCCTTCAACCTAGCCAACTCTACTTCAGTGGCAATGATCTTCTCTCGTAAATTCACTAAAAAGTATTTGAGAGTGCTAGCGCAGCTTGTTTTTTAGCATGCAGCTTCTGCAGATGTTCCACCTAAACTTCCTTCTCAGCTATATGATGTTGAGCTGCTTCATACTTATTAGCTTCTTCGTCCCGGATGTCCTCAAACGTCGACGCGATCTGCGCTTGGATATTAGCACGACCTAGGGCCTCCAAGAACCTTAGCTGTGCCTCTAGGCGTAGAATAACTTCTGAACAATGCTCAACTACCAAGACATCCCCCATGTACTTGAGGTTGTTTAAACTATTTGTGAGCATAGGCTTGAAGGTTTCAAAAGTATCTCGACCGGCCAATACAACCTCAATCACTTTCTTTGTTAGACTTTCTAAATAAGAAGGTTTCAAAAGTATCTCGACCGGCCAATACAACCTCAATCACTTTCTTTGTTAGACTTTCTAAATAATCAAGAGAAATCTTGAGGAAATCTGGCCAATACAACCTCAATCACTTTCTTTGTTAGACTTTCTAAATAATCAAGAGAAATCTTGAGGAAATCTGGCACGTCCGTGGGACTCGAAGCAGCGATGGGAGACGGTACAGAAACTTTCAAAGATACAGAGCCAAGTAAAAGACCAGCAGGAGATTTTGGCGTAGTGGTCTGAGAGGGAATGTTGACAACCAGTTGAGATGGACTCGATTGAAGAGCCATACGTTTTCCTATTTTGGATGATCTTGGCATGTCTACAACTTCTGTTGGGGCTAAAGAAATTTACAATAAAGTCGCCGGTGGGAGAGTTATCATTGAGAGCTCCAAGCAAGGTGGCTCTGACAGCTGAGCTGGTGGTGGTACAAGCTGTTGCGTCGAAGGAGGAACGACAGCGCTCGCCTCATGTATCATAGGATCTGTATGAGAAAACTATTTAAATGCAGAACAAGGGTTAGTCGTGAGTCAGAACAAATGATGCTTACCAGTGAGAGGTAGGGGAATGTAGGCTGACGCCTTGTCTGAAGAAGGTGGTGGTGGGATATCCCTCTCACTGGGATCGTCGCTATCATCACCCAAGTTGTCGTTGTTCTCATTACTCTCACTTTGGTCATCACCATCATCTGTGTCATTCGCACCATCGCTATGGTCCATAGGCTCCTCCTCGTCTATGGGAGGAAATGCTGGTGGATTCTCGGTGATGGTAAGTTTTGATATGACTCCAGTAGTAGGGCAGGGTTGTGTGTCTCCTACAGGTGGTAATAACACAGAAGCGGAAGGAGACTTGTCCGCTACCAAGTCTTGCTGGGCAGTCACTGTAGGTTCTTGGACCGGAGGTCTATCTTCTTCAACATGAGGGGTAGTAGAGGCAGTATCGTGAAGTATGTCTTCAGGGGCAAATTCTACACCCCCTACAAATAATTCATCTCCACGCTCTTCTTCATTCAGTGAACGAGCAGAAGAAACGGGGCCTCCTAAAGCGGGACCAACTGTGGGGAGACCAGGCTGAGGCAAAAGTCCCATAGCAGTGGACTCTCGTTCTTCCTCTTTTGCATGCCATGCTTTCTGAGCATCTGACATAAGCTTAGGAGCAAGGGGCTCGAGCGCTAACTTTCGACGAGCTCGTTTATCATACTTGGCTTCTTCAGTTGGGTCTAGTGCTCTTTTACCAGTAGCGCTTTTACTCTGAGTCTTAACTCTCGAAGATTCCACCCCGTGAGTATCCGGCATCCTGATCTCTTCCTGAACTCCCTCTGGTGATTGCCGATGTTCATCTTCAGTAATCGCTTTTTCATATGATAAGTACTCGTTAACCCCCCAGGCACGGAACTTTTTGGCACTTCTCTTCGAAGCATACCATTTGCGAATGGCCTTCAGGCAGGAAGTATTCATGTTGTAGGCTAAAATTTGAGAAGCAGCATGGTACCACGTACAAAAGCTTAAAGAAGTACGAGCGTTGGGCATCTTATGCGACAGTTGGAATTTTGCTCCCGTACATCCTGTCACTGAGTAATACCAAGCTCTTGCTCCTTCATACATATTACCTGTGTACGCAAGAGTAGGGTTTGGATTTCCGACATAAATCTGATCATAGCCGAATTGCCGAGAAAAGCGATAAGGCCGATATGGTTCAATGAAGCACTTCCTCCCTTGTCGAAAAATAAGATAGCCTAGGCTAATATTTATGAGCCACCAGAAGGCACCTCTACTGAGTGTAGTAAAAGAATTTCGTCCCGGGGTGTCTTGATAGATCTCTCAGTACGCACCACCCTCGAAAATGGGAAACTTGCAAGTGATTTCGTTATTATAATCCCGCCTAAATATTTTACGGAATTTAACCTGATACCAACCGACCCATCGAGCGGTTTCCAATTGTTGAACAAGAGGAGCCGAAGTATCGCTCGATTCAGGAGTCGACATTATCGAAGGGTAGTGCAACACAAACCAAGATACCAAATAAATATATAGCATCGGCACCCGAGGGGTTGGGATTTGAATGATTGTTTACCCATCTGAGTCCAATTTCTTGATGGCAATAAACTCAGAGGCTAATTCCCGTAGACCACTCTACAAGCAGCATACCATGGCTGAAAGGAGATTTAGAGGCCGTCCATGAGCTAGGAGAACAGCTGGGTATAATACTTCTACTGTAATAGCATCCACCGACCTAATGGGTACCACACAACGTTTCAATCAAAGAGTAAGGAAACCAGCGAACAAAGCCATGTCGAAGATTGGGACTTCTGCCTGATAATGGAAGCTTTCAAATGTGGTGAAAGCTGGGAAGACGTCCTCCTCTACCTCGCAAGTATAGTGGGAGGTTGCATCATTGATACGCTCATGGACTTCCTCAAGAGTACTGGCAGCTAAACGAGTCACCTCAGCATCTTTGTCCCACAGATTCCGGAAAAGATACTCTGCCCATTATCCTTGTTTCACACCACTGGCCCTTTTCCCAATAGTTTGTGCACATATCTGGAAATGGCACATCAATTCCCAGTAAGTGTTATAGATTTTGGGGGCACCATGTTTCAGGATCTCTCATTCCCTATTTCCGGGAACAAACTCCTCATAAGGCAGCTCTCCAAAAGACAATCCGGAGATTTCAAACATCTCATGAAGAGTGAAGCCTAACTCACCAGCAGGAGTGAAAAAGATACCAGTGTGAGGATTGTAAAATTCTAGCATAGCAAAAAGTCCGCTATTATTTGGAGAAATCCCATATCGAGTGGCTATTATTGGAGTTCTCAATTCTGAAGTCCTCAAAGGTTCTTCTAGTTCATCTAAAACAAAATTTATCATTCGGGCCCATCAGTCTGTCTCACTTGAATGTATCCATGTTGGAGCCCTGAAATCTTGAGCGGAGAACTCTCCTTTGACAGAGATAAATTTCCTAATGAAGACCTCCGCTAACTTGGCAGGTTCACCGACAGGATGTTCCTTTTTGAATAGACCTGGCTTCAAGGCCACAAAATGATTAAAACCAGCCGGGTGAGTGCCCTGAGGAGTGATGTGCCCAGTAGCAACACCTCCTTGGTCCTAAACGAGTTCCCAATTCATTGACCGTGGGATAGAAGCGCACTAATAATAAGAAATCGGCCACATTCGCTCTAAGTTGGGAAGAAAAAGGCGCGGTTGTTGACGGCCCTCGGCCATTTGTAGTTTCCCTTAGACATCCGCTTGGGGTCCATCTTAACAGAATCCCCGAAAAGGAAGGATGGTTTCTTTAAAATCTCACGATCTGCGGCTTCAAATCTAGCATCCATAACCAAGGACCTGAGAGTCTCGGGGAAAGCTTGAGTGATGAGTTTCGCACGCTCTTTGTTGGTGTCCTAGAATATTGGGCACTCTAAGTGAAAGCTGAAAATTTTATTTTTCTCCGCACCTCCCGTATGACCGAAGTAATGGTTGAAAGAAAGAGGCTCATTGGAGTAGCACACTACAAATGGAAAAGAAAATCAGTCTGTTAAACGAAGGAGTCTAACTCAAGAAGGCAAGGTCCGGATCCATGTCCAAAATTTTAAACACAATGTCCAGATCCGCGTCCAAAATTTTAAACGCAAGGTCCAGACCTGCGTCGAAATTCCTCAATGCAGAGTCCATGCTTTCATATAGAACACTAAACGTAGGGTTTCAACCCGCATTCAAAATTTGAAACGCAGGGTCTGAACCTACGTTGAAATATCATGAACGACGGAGATAACCATGCGTTTTAAAACCGATAAACACTTAGGATGACCTCTCTGTTCTAATGGTGGAATACAAACCACCAATCCAAGATTGAGGATAAAGAATCTGTCAAAATAACTCACGACTACCCAAACTTACCGTTAATTGAAGAAATTGGAGACGATGGCGTGGTGTTTTGAACATCCCCGGAGGGTTTAGCCGAAGGAGCACCCTGAGCTTGGGCGATCTTTGACTTGGAGGCTATTCTCTTCTTAGGAGCCATTCTAAGAGCGAATTTTTCCTTCATTGAAGCGCCGGAAAAGATGAACAGGAACCCTATTAAGTGGCCGACAGAAGAGCAAGAAAGAGAAAAGTCTAATGACTTTTTGATATGACCTCAGTGGTCCATTTATATACAGCTGTAGCTGTCAAATCAGCACAGGATTTTAGGCGAAAATCCTAACCAAAACGCGATTTTTGCATTTTCAAATAAAGGATCTAAACTTCCAGACGCATTCTCGCATTTAGACGGTCAAACGCACGATTTAGATATTGGTGATCGACTTCAGTCTATCACGCAACTAACCCTTTCAAAGGGCTTAACATTCCAACCAAGATTAATGATAATATTGTTAAAATCATTACCCCAGTTGAGCTGATCAAGAAAGGAGATAAAGTGAATTCCTCTGAGGCTGCCCTCCTGACTAAACTTAGGATAAGGCCCTTCTCATACGGGCTTGCAATTCTCTCTGTCTATGACAATAGATCTATCTTAAGCCCAGAGGTGCTCAACCTCACTGAGGATGACCTCGTTAACAAGTTTGTAGTTGGTGTTTCTATGGTTGCTTCGATATCTTTGGCTCTCTTTTACTCAACTCTTGCAACTACGCCTCACATGTTCATGAATTCCTACAAGAATTTTCTAGACAATTGAATGCACCTCATCGCAGATTGAGTGGAGTATCTCAAGGACCTAGACAAAATCCGATGAATACACCTCATCGCATATTGAGCGGAGCATCTCAAGGACTCAGACAAATTCATTGTCATCATCGTTCTTGTTTGGTTCGTCAGTAATGACTTGGGCTTTAGCTTGTTTGACTAAGTTCGTTGTCATCAAGACACAAAAGATGCTATCCAGACAACCAGGTTCACGATGTCTTCGAGGCAGACGAAGTGAGCAATCAGTCAACAAAATTTTGGGATCCAAAGTATTCTAAAAATTTGTTCCAGTCAACCACGAACTTTCGAAAACTTTGGAGGGGGTTCTATAGGTTGTCTAAAAATCACAATAGATCGTTCACCCCTATCAGACTTCAACTGACAGTTTTGACTAAGGATGTTACAATCAGACGACTTTCTTGTTAATAAAGGAAAACTGCAATCACACTACCACATTTGAGGCCTATGGGGACGGTTCTGAACCGTCACCCTAGGCATGGAAACCGTCACACTAGGTCTATGAGGACGGTTCTACATCCGTCTCGTTTGCAGCCGTGCCCGTAGGTCTAATGGGACGGTTTATGCTCCTAGTGCAACGATTTGTAAACCGTCCCCAATAGTACCATAAGGGAACGGTTGTGCTAAGGGGTCGGTTCTTAGTTTAGAGCAAGTGGAACGGTTGTATATCAAGGGGAACGGTTTTTAGGTTCTAAGCAACGGGAACGGTTTGATAGCAAGGGGAACGGTTTTTAGGTTCTAAGCAATGGGAACAATTTGATAGCAAGGGGAACGGTTTTTATGGGGACGGTTCTTATACCAAGGGGGACGGTTTCGAGCTTGACCTAAGAGGACAGTTATATTGTCTATGGGAACGGTTTTGTTTGTGATCTATGAGGATGTTTTTTATACCAAAGGGGACGGTTTTCATTTTTTACTGATCAAACAAATCACCCAGATATCACACATCAGTCCATCACATACAAAGTAACAATAGTCCAAGTTTTACACACAAACTAACCAAACTTTAGCCTTAATATAATGAACAATTCATTACAACGAATAACAATATTATAGCAATAGGATTGAGATAATTCTTCACAAGTTTTACACAAAAACTTACCAAATTAAGCACATATCACAAATCCTCCATGATTAAAACAAAGAGCTACTACTTAATCAAAAGGTCAAAATGTCTCTTTTGAGACGATTAAGTTCTAAATCTTCACAACAAATAAATCCCCCAAAGAGCGACAAGCATGGATCTTCAGATGTTTTCCTGCGTACATCAAGATAAAAAGATGAGTAAGCACAAGTATTAAACCCTTCAAAGTAAATGTATAAAGTTATCAAGTCATTTACAACATAGAAATTATCAAGTCATTTACAGAAAAGATTAAGGAGGGTTATAAACTACCCCAGTTGCCCTAGTTATAGTGATGGACAAAAGAATATGGACAAAAGTGTATGTACAGTATATATGTGAGAATATTAGTACAGGTAGCTTTAAATCACAAGAGACCACGGATGCATAATAGAGAGAGAAAAAGGGAATGCTCATAGCTGTTATAACAATATACTGACTTAGATGGATTGATAAGAGAAAATGCATTCAATGATTTATTAGGCCCTACTGAAAATAACAGTATACTGAAAATAATGCATACGAAGGTGAGAGAAGACCAAGAAGGACTACTCGGAATGTTATAAGAAGTAGAAAACTATACTAGGAAAATTGTGTGTGCCTGTACATGGCAGATTTTATTAACTCATGTGACGAGTGGGTTCTTATAAGTCTAATTCTAATCACATGTATTTACTGCAGTTATTAGCTACTTGTTGGTTCCTTATTTCTCTTTAAAAAGCATACAGTAAAAGACATTTTTTATATTGCTGCAAAATGCTGACACCTTCTGAAGTAACAAACAAATAGAAATGTAACAGTTAGCAAGTTGAGAAAAAGAAAGGAATGAAATTATAGGGAAAACAGGGCATATCGTTAAATGTTGTTTTAACAGTGTTACAAGCTTTGAATGAAGTATTTAGCTTTTCAAGGATGACACCTTATGTAAAAGAATCTTACAAAGATCAACTTAGCCTACAGTCGAAATTAATGAGATATTCACACACCAAAATCTATGATCTTTCGCTTATTGTTTATTTCATTAGAGCATGGTTTTGTGTATTCCTCTTCAAGTTATGTGCAAGTTCTCTTATGGACATGTGATACTTAACAATTCAACACAGAGAAAATGCATTCAATGATTTATTAGGCCCTCTTTATATAAGCTTACAAATTCCAATTTCTCAAGAAAATTGATCATATAGAATCAGTTTCCTGATCACAGTGAATAGACAGTTAAATAAAGGAAATAACTAAAAGAATCAGCTGCTGTCAATAAACCGTGACATTTATGAATGAAATTACATGAATATTGTTAAGCTTGAAAACATTACCCAACGCAAACAGCTGAGGAAATTCTCCAGGTGTGAGATGAGCAAGAGCAAATACTGCTGCACTGATAAGGATAGAAACTGGTGATGGAAACCTATAAAAAGAAAAGAGAATATGAAAAACATTAGAAGGCTTCAAAAATAGTTAATGAGTAGCATCACAACAAAGAAGAACAAGCATGTAAAATAGAATGATTCATAGTACTTTTTTTATTGTTCCTTAAAAAAGTAAAATTTTGGATAAATGGCCATACCTCATCCTTTGAACCAGCCAATGCCTTAGCCAAGGCATTAACTTCAAACATTTAAAATATTAGAAAACGAACCAGTTATCACCTTGGACGCTGGCTTCACTTTAAGGCAAGGGCTATCACCATGTGCTCCAACGATATGCAACCCATTCCCCGCAGTGTACCTAAAAACAATCCAAACCAAAAACTCCACTAAAATCACTTCAAAAGAACCAAAAATCCAATCTTTCACTTAAAAAAGCTACCTTTTCCCAATTGTAAAGGCAACGATTGTAGAGTGATTACGAGTGAAGAAGTACTTCTTCGATGTTTGTTTCAGCACCAAGGGTCTAACTACAACCAACCGAACTACAGGAGTAGAGGGTTTTATTAAAACTTCAAGAAATAGCAAGAAAATACTTAAAAATTTAAGAGAATGGAAAAGCAGCCCATTTTTGTCTAAGACGGAATACAAAACACTATGTTATTTCACTAAACTTCAGAAATTTGAACCTATGATTAGAGAAATCATTTGGTTTACATCCATTGATAGCTGTATTTTTTCCATTCACGGTCAAGATATGAACAAACTATACTATCATGGAGTATTTTTTTGGACATTTTGCACCAGACAGAAAAACCAGAAGTTGCCCAAAGCCCACACACTAAGGAGTCTAGTTTCCTGGAGAGTGAGCCTTACAGTCTAATGACAAAAAGATCAAGTTAAAAGTTTTAACATGTGTAATTTTCTGTTTAGTTTTTTTTTGGGGGGAAAAAGTGTAAGTTAACATCTTGGGCATCCAAACTTTGAAATATAACTACCAATTTAGTTTTCTTAACAGAAAAAGTGTAGCTTAAAATCTTGGGCATCCAAACTTTGAAATATAACTACTAATTTGATTAGTCAGGCAAACCATCATCTACATAACAAGAGAATTCAAAATATCACTAGTTCACAACTCACAATATCACTTGTTTAAGTATCACTTGTTTAAGTGACAGTGCAAACTAATTATAACTTACATTGTTGAACTTTGAACCTTGAAGCACTCCTAGCTAGCAACCTTCCTCTTATGACCCTTCTTCCCTTTAAGAGCATCTTCTTATTTCGGACTACCTTCTTCTTCTTCAACTTTTGTTTTACTGCAATGTCTTGATATAACCGCAGTCAGTTATAAAAGGGAAACGAAAGTAGAAGAAGGATTATAAAATGCTTACTGCAGCAATGTCATCCATTCTCTCAAGCAAAATTTCAGGCTAGAGCCGGCTTTGTTGTGTGAGCAGCTCGTCCAACTTGTCCAACATGAAGTCACGTTCCAACTTGACCTCAAGCTTTTATTCCTCTCGAGCTACGACTAACTTTTATTTCTCTTTAGTCATGGTCTCTGCAATGAAGGAGGCACCACCATTTTTAGCTTCTATCTCAGGAGGAAGGTTTCAGTGGTTCCTGATATTAAAAAGAAACCATTAAACATCAAAATGTCAAGAAAGGAAGAAATTCCAAACTCTAATTTGGGGGAAATGGAAGGGCGGGCATGATTGATGAACCCTAAAACAGTTAAAAAATACAAATTCCAACAGAAATCTACAACATTTTCTTCTAAAGAAGCGATCTTTACAGGTTTGGAATCATTTGAAAAGAAATTGAAAAGAATAAAGGAAAAGTTCTGAAAAATATAAGGAAAAGAGAATAACTTTCTCGTTACGACTCTACCCTAAAAATTGCAAAATATGAAAACAATTTGAACGAAAATAAAACCCTAGATTTTCACAATTTGGGAATTACAAACGAAAACAACAAAAATTAAACAAGAAGTTCCCGAGAAAGGAGGAAAATTTCTCTCTTTTATCTCACGCAGAATTCCAATTATTAATTTTGAAATTTGCAAAGGATTTCTCTCTTTTATCTCACGCAGAATTCCAATTATTAATTTTGAAATTTGCAAAGGGAAATACTTTGAAAGAAACCAAAACCCTGGAGTTCAGAATTCCAATTATTAATTTTGAAATTTGCAAAGGGAAATACTTTGAAAGAAACCAAAACCCTGGAGTTTGTTTTCACAAACAATAGATTAAAGTGTAATAAAATAAAATACCTGACCTTTGGCTCTGAACTCTCAAACCCTAACCCTGGGTGAAGCCTCGATCGAATTCTGATTTTTGAATGAAGAAGAAGCCGGAGATAGCGCCCTCTTGTTTAACCATTGGAGAGTGAATTTTTAAGTCATCTTCTTGGCGCCACCACGGAGACGGAGGACGAGGTGGAGAGTCGACTCCTTCTGTATGTTGTAATCAGCCAGGGTCCGGCCATCCTCGAGCTGCTTTCCCGTGAAAATGAGCTCTGGAGGATTTCGACACCATCGAGGTCGGCGTACAGATGTGCGGGAAGTTCGAGCAGAGGATGAGAGACGGCGGCTTTCGTTTAGTCCAAGAGACGACGGCGAGAAAACCCTAGAGCGAGAAGGGTTCGAGGATTTGTTGTTGAGGATCGGGTGAAGAGCGGCTAGTAAATACGAGAGAAAAAGATAAGTGTTTAGTTTAGGGGCCACCATAAAGCCCAAGATAAAACCGTGCCTTTAGCCTAATTACAGAAATTATTCCCAAAACTAATTCAAGCACAACACTTTATTTTAAATTGTTGGCTTAGACTCTATTGTGACGGTTACAACCGTCACAAAACCGTTTCCTTAGATAGCTAAGGGGACGGTTTTAAACCGTCCCCAACGAACCGTCCCCGTATACCTATTTTGTGGTAGTGTCAGAGGATTCTCCTATGGATCAAGAAGAGATTACAATGCAATGATTTCTTCAAACCAAGAAGCAGAATTCGTCCTTGCAATTAAAACACAAGTAATTTCCAATGTCAACGCAATCACTACATCCGCGGTTCTACAGCCGCTGCCAACGCAGCTCCATATCACTACAAACGCAGTTCTACAGCCGCTGCAAACGTAGCTTTACAGCTGCTGCCAACGCAGCTCCATATAGCTGCAAACGCAGCTCTACAGCCGCTGCAAACGCAGCTCTAAAGCCGCTGCCAACGCAGCTCCATATCGCTACAAACGCGACTCCAGATACTGCGTTTAGACGCAAGATCATACCCAGAACGCAAGTCAAGACGTTGACTCGTTCAAACACGATCCATACGGTTTTGAGAAAACCACTGTTCACCCACGATCTGGGGAGTGGCTTAAGTGGGTTGTTATACCCGATTAATAGGGCAACTAAACCCCCATACAAGCGCGGATTATGGGGGCAGTTACATCTCTAATTCCCCTATAAATATCAACACACTCAACAGAGTTTGGGATCGAATTTTGGAGATCAGGTTCTGAAGAGGAGAAAATCAGGAGGCAACAATCTTTAACAACCAAAGATTTCCAGATACTAGATACTTAGCTTCTCAATCACATTATTTTCGATTCAAACAACTCTTTTTCACCGGAGTTCGTCACTCGCTCTGAGTTACAAAGCTCGTCAAGAGTTCTTGATCAGTTCAACCACACAAGTCAGCTGTTCTAGTGAATTGAGATATTCGGGTCGTCAACGGAGAGCAAATTAGACGCGAGCATTCGAAGGATGCACTCCATCGCTACCGTGAAGAACCCAATTTTAAACAAAGGGGAGAATCCAGATCATTCTCCTCTCTTTTGTAATCAGGAAATCTAATTGTAACTGAGATTAAAGGAATACAAATCAATTTTCCTTCATTTCTTTTTTTACTTCAAATTTTCCACCAAACAATAGGATTGGTTACCTGATTCGAAAATGAAATTCTGACTCTAGTCCTAACTTTTATAGGTTTGACCGAAGGGGAAAAAGTGAAAGTCTTTCGTTCATCGAAATAGAATTTTGATTTTGGCCCTAACTGTCTACAGGTTTGACTGAGCGGGGATTTGAGACAATCCTAACTTTTATAGGTTTGATCGCTCAGTTTGTGGACCTCTCGTTCATTGAAGGAATCGAGAGGGGATTTTGGTTGTGGTCCTAACTGTTTAAAGGTTTGTCCAAGCGGAGAGTTTTGAGACAATCCTGGACCTCTCGTTCATTGAAGAAATCGAGAGGGGATTTTGGTTGTGGTCCTAACTGTTTAAAGGTTTGACCAAGCGGGGAGTTTTGAGATAATCCTAACTTTAATAGGTTTGATCGCTCAATTTGTGGACCTCTCGTTCATTGAAGGAATCGAGAGGGGATTTCGGTTGTGGTCCTAACTATAGGAAGGTTTGACCAAGTGAACAGTGAGAGTGGGAGTACAAATTATAGTGGGAGTGTTGATTCATACAAATCACTCAAAGGGGATTCCTAGTGTTAAGTGACAAATACTTAACATAGAGGGGTTTGACAATTATTAATAAACAGAAGATTAAAATCCTGAGTACTATGTCCGGACTCTAACAATGAGAGTGTTGAGTGCACAGACGTAGCGGGAGTTTAAGTGGGAGCTTAGTGTTTATCACTTTGCTTGTAATGATCAAGATATCCCTAAGAATATTATATTTAATATTCTTCCGGGAACTTCCCGTTACATGAATCATCTACCCCCAGCTTTCTTTACGAAATTGGGTTTATCATTGTATTCAGTTGAATGATCGAGTTATCCTTAAGAATACCAGGCATAGCACTCTCTAGGAACTTCCCTTGAAAGAAAGGAAATAGTTTAGACTCATATACCGGTTGGAGTTTTGAGGAGCAGTTTATACTCGTATACTCTTCGGAGTATCAAAAGGAGCAGTTTATACTCTTATACTTGTCGGAGTTTTCATTCGACTTAATTGAGCGTTATGACGCCGGCTTCAACTAAGGTTTGGCTGCTATTTTTGAGAGTAAAGCAATCCTTGGTGGGATGAAGGATCCTCC